AGCAATCAGGAGCATATCAGTTCATGAAATTGTTATGGAGATATTCATGGTTGCCTCCATAACAAGTCCAGTGATACCGATTCAGGTGGCGATGAGAATGACAATGATATACGGACGATCTTATGAACACATGATTGTCTGCTTTCCAAAAAGGAGATGTGATAATGACGGTAAAATTTCAACAATACAATAATAATAACTACAAAGACATTGGATATTTTCTATAGATTGTTATTTTGTACTAATGAACCATTACACCATTGATAATGATGAGGATGAGCATGAGAATGATAACAGATAATAGCAGTAATAGAAATTTGAGATGGTGCCAAGAATGCCAGTACTAATAACCATAATTGCAAATCTGGCCACAATGAGGCTAATGTTAATTATGCATTTTTATGATATAACGGTGCTTCTAAATGGCAATTGACCTACTGCCTGAGCCTCTCTTCTTCAACCGCTGGTGAAAAGATTATGATCAGTCATTGAAACAATCATCATCATAATCTGAGAACACCGATAACGAAGTGAATAATGGAGCAAAGGTGTTTATTCCTTGTATGAAGTACAAATCAAACAACCAGAAGCAAAAGCAATGGAATGGACAATAAAAATAATCACCATGATAATAATACATAAACGATCCTAGAAAATCTTGCTAATTCTTGCTGACATCAAATTGCCATTCAGTATCAGTGCTTAAGAGAAAGAAAGAAGAAAGAAAACAAAGAAACGAACGAACGAATGGAAGACGCGAAAAGAAAAAGAAAAAGGAAGACACGAATGGTTAAAAAGAAAATAAATAAAGGAAAGAAAGAAAGAAACGAACGAAATAAGTAAAGAAATGAAGAAACGAACGAAAGAAACAAATATGAAATCCGGAAAAAGAAAAAAAAAGTAAATCCGGACCAACTGCGTCCGTCGTCTCTGAGATTGCCTTACCATGGTTAATGTCACAGTCAGGCTCCTTGTTCGCCCAGCTGTCAGGCCTGAGTGAGCAGACTGCCCCAAGCGCAGAGAGAAGTCGGGTGTCCGACAACCAGTGCATTTTCTCACTCTAAAGTCTGCAGTATCTGTGTTACACTTTTCCCTTCACTTAATGTTTAACATCCTCGATTCCTATTGCTGTTCGGCATGTGTTTTGTGCCGAATCCCCTTTATATGGCACTTTCATCCCTCACCCACTCTGCGAAAAGGCCGAGGACCCAGCGTCAGGGAGGAAGGAACCGAGGAGAAGGGGGAGGGGATAGGTGTGGCGGGAAGGGGAAAGGGGGAAGGATGAGGATATAGGTGAGAGGCGTAGATAGAAGGAATAGAGAAGGGAGAGAAGGTTAGGGAAAGGGAAGGGAGGAGGAGGGAAACATGACTTTTTAAATCGGTTTATCTATTATGCATTTCCAAATCTTCAGTCTTTTTAAAAAGACAAAATTAAGGGGGAATCTGGGCGAGTGAAATGGAGGGAGAGGGGGAAGATGGAAAATATAGAAATGGAGGGAACAATGAAGGGAAGAGCAAGGTAAAAAAAAAAAAAAAAAAAAATAGAGATAGAGCAGGGGAGAGAGCGAGAAGGAAACCTTGTGCGATGGAACGAGGTAGAGGTAACTAATGAAGGTGAGAAAAGGAGGAAAGAAAGCGCATCAGCAATTGTTGCGAAACGAAGGAGCTCTCAGAATCTGCGCAGGAGCTTTTTCACTAAACCGGGACTACCTGAACCTGATTTATGACACGTGACTACAAAGACTTCCGGGATTTTCTTCGTCCAGATTGGTTTTTCACTCCCTTAAGAATGGCCGACCCTTTGGTAAGAGAATGAGAAATCTTGTAGATTTCAATTTCAATTTGAATTTGAAACTCCCCAGCTGGACCAATTTAGTCGAGCTGGATTTGGTCGGATTTGGAGACTTCTGAATACCAAGGATCGGATGCAATATATACAGGTGGTTCAAAATCTGAAAATGGCAAACTGATATTGACAGAATGATGGCAATGATACTACAGTGACCAATGAGTCCAATACATCTACAGCCGTCTATCAATATTAATACCACTACTCTTGCTATGCAGAGCTATCAGCTTCGTAATTTCTAGGGTTGTCATCATCCCCTCCACCATCACCAATGGTCATTGTCATATCATCAAGTAATTAATATCAGTAACATTAGTCATAACTATTAGTCACAGTATGACTATCAACAGCTCATCCCCCTTGCTATTCTTCGACTGATGGAGATGTTGAAAGGAATCACAATCATCGTGCAGTGACCGCTTTGGGTCATGTGGTTTGAATTGCGCCATGGTCTTTCAACGGGGTTCACACAAGGACGCCAGAGAAACCATATTTTTAAATTCATCTCTCCTTAACAATTTCTGTCCTCATTGTACAGTAAAAAAAAAAAAAAAAAAAAAAAAAAAAAAAAAAAAAAAAAAAACTAATATGTATTGAAGAAAAATGTATGCAATCACTTTATTCTGTAGAGAAAAAGGAAATCATTTTTTCGTTTATTCTCGAATTCCTCTGAGAGGCCGGCGAGGGCGACCCTCGGCTTTGCTTTCTCTCAACGCTGCTAGGAGCAGAAATATTTCCTTGTTTTAAGGAAAACCCTGCAGCCACAGGGGAGAAATTCTAGATGCGACAAAATGTGGGGAAATTCTAGAAAAAAAAAAAGAAATTAAGTTTACATTTTTGTCTTACAGTTCGGCAGACGTCTTGCCCCATCCTTAATATCTACACAGTAGTTGGGAGGCAAAGGAACCAGTGACTTATGAATGATGTGCTTTAGCTTTCTGCGCTATTTAAAACCAAACATTGGAATCCATGCCTTTGGTATCAGAGTAAGAGCACAATCAAATTCACTTTAGTTGAAAAACTATTAATAGGAGATCGAGTAAATGTGTAACTCTGCACATGCCAAGACATTTCATGTGTTGTGTTTAAATATTCGATGTGTGTGTTTGTGTTTGCTTATTCAAATACACACATACACATATATCTGCATATGCATATATAT